CCATGACTTATTGTAAAATATTTTCAAATTTTAAAAAATGCTGACCTTCGTTGGAAAAAGAACTGTTTGGATTTTTCAAGATGAAATGATGGGTCATTTTTTTCTAAATAAAATGGGGATTGACATTCAAGTGCATATAGAACACGTTGAATGGTACTAATGAATTAAGACCATAGAGAAAAAGGAGGAAAGAAGAAGGGCTCCATTTTGGCTGTTGCTTTTCTTTGTTGGACAAATTTTAAAAAAAGAGAAAGATGGATATTATCATGGAAGCAATGAAAGAAGAGAGAAGAGGACCACTAACATAGCAACCAGGAAAAAACATTGCACCAGGGTTGATACAAAGGATGTTTGAGGAATGGAGGAAGAATATTATATAGCCAGTGACAACTTTACTGACCGAAATATTTGCAGTTGGAGTTTTTGCTGAAAATGATTAAAAATGACATAATGTGGGTAATGGGTGGTTTTGTTTTTATTAATTAAAATGGTTAAATGTGAGGAGTAGGGAAATACCGATATATATGAAATTTTAAAGAGGGTGGGAGAAAATAAGCTTGTTTGTAACTGCTATGAAGATCAGAAGCTTTTTCCTAGTACCTTTTTTCATTCTTGCACTTTTTCTTTAATCTTTTTTCTTAAATTTCTACTATACATTTTTCATGTTATTTTTATTCATGTAATTTTTTTCAAACACACACACACGAAAATATGTGTTTCTAAATCATAGTCCTTCTGGAATGGCCAAACACTTGTATAGGTAGTCCTCAACTTATGACCACACTTGAACCCCAAATTTCTGTTGCTAAGTGAGACATTTGTTAACTGAGTTTTGCTCCATTTTACAATTTTTCTTGTTCTGGATGTGAATCAATGCAATCATGAGATGAATCCCCACTGAGTTTGCTTGGGAGAAGGCTGCAAAAGGCGATCACATCAGGGGTGAAATGCTCCCGGTTCGGACCGGATTGCCCGATCCGGTAGCGATGGCGGTGGGTGGTTCGGAGAACCGGTAGCAAAAATCCCTGAACCACCCTCACCCCCACCATGCCCAGCAGAGCCGCAGGATCATCAGAGGCTTTTTTTTTTTTACTTTTAAAAGCATTTTTTCTACAACCTCTTCCAAAGAAAAAATGCTTTTAAAAGTAAAAAAAAAGCCTCTGATGATCGCACAGCTCAGCTGGGATAGTCAGAGGCTTTTCAAAGCATTTTTTTCTGCAACCTCTTGGTCGAAGAGGTGGTTTAAAAAATGCTTTGAAAAGCCTCTGATGATCCCAGCTGAGTTTCCTGATCAGCAGAGGCTTTTCAAAGCATTAGAAAAAATGCTTTGAAAAGTTTAAAAAAAAAAAAGTTGGCCACGCCCACCCAGTCACATTATCCCCCACCACCAAGCCATGCCCACAGAACCAGTAGTAACAAATTTTACATTTCAGCTCTGGATCACATGACCCTGGGATACTGCAACTGTCATAAATATGAGTCAGTTGCCAGGCATTTGAATTTTGATCACATGACCACAGGGATGCTGCAATGGTCATAAGTGTAAAAAAACGGTCATAAGTTACCTTTTTCAGTGCCATTGTAACTGGTCACTAAACGAACTGTTGTAAATCGAGGACTACCTGTATATTCTTTACATATTTGAAAAGCATTTAAGGCAACAGATTTTTTTATTTGAGTGTGCCTGTAGATAACTTCTCACTGTGCCAGTAGTTCACAAACTTACATTGGTATAAATTGATTTTGAACATATGAACAATTTGATTTGGAACTTTCTATTTTAATTAGACAAAATTAAACAGTGGCTTAATGCATATTCCAAGATCTTTCTTGCCAGTGATATTAATGTTAAATAAATTCCTTATAATTTGAGTTTGAATTCCAACGATTACATTAACACATCCATGTTAATTTGAGAGCATAAATACTGAGGTGGTTTGATGTGGCTAACTTGAGATTTTGTGATTTTTTATTTATAAAATTCTCTGATTTCCTGATGGTCTCCCCTCCAAACACTGACCAGATCTTGCTGCTTAACTTTCCAAAATCAGATGTTGTCAGCTAAGTGCTGCCATCTAGCAGGCCCACTTCTCATTTTAGTGACAACCATAACACTATAGCTGTTCCATAGATAAGGCCTACTGAATCCCTTGGGAAGAACCTGGCAACAATACCGTAGGCGCGCAACTGGAACATTCCTAGATGAGGGTGCGTGAGGAAACTGCTGGAGAGAATCAAAGAAGAAAGTTGGAGGGATGTGATCAAAACTAAACAGGAAAGAAAGAGTAATCTGTTACCTCCCAACTGCCTGACACAGGTAGTCCTCAATTTACAACAATACATTTAGTGACCGTTCAAAGTTACAACAGCATTGAAAAAAAGTGACATATGACCTTTTTTCACACTTAACTGTTGCAGAATCCCCATGGTCACGTGATCAAAATTAAGATGCTCATGATGGTTGCAATGTCCCGGGATCATGTGATCACCTTTTGCAACCATCTGACAGTCAGTGGGGAAGCCAGATTCATTTCACAACTCTTGTTACTGATTTAACAACGGCAATGATTCACTTAACAATTGGGGGACAAGAAAGGTCGTAAAATTTCTCACTTGGCAACATAAATTTTGGGCTCAATTGTGGTTGTAGATTGAGGACTACCTGTTGCTGATCAGCTGATTGAATGTGGATAGGGGTCTAGTGTGCAGTTCACAAGCTACAGGTTACTCATGAATCAAACAAATCTCCCAAGTTATTATTTTGTTTTAAGATCTCTGCCAAGGCTTCATTATACACTTTTGCATTGGCCTCATGGCTTTTTTAAAGATATATATATATATCTTAATATCTTAGATATTGATAAGAGAGCTGTTGCAGCAAGACCCATTAATTTTTTTTAACAGAATTTTTCAATGGATCATATATGTAGCTACCAGGATTTTATTTCTTCATTATACAATCTCCTGAATTGCTCTTGCGAACGCAGATGGATGTGTTCCTAAGATTTGGAGACTTGAATTTCTTGATCTTCATTTTCCTTCTTCAAATTGGCAAGAGGCCTGTTTCACAATCTGTGTGAGAATTAATATATGATCAGCCACAAAAAAATCCCTTAGAAGAAATAATGAAGCAGTGAAATACTGGGATTCCATTCATTTTCATTTAATGGAAAATACTATTACTAATGCTACATTTAATTGAAGGAGAGCTGGGAACTGGCAATGAGAAGGAGGCGGATTTCCCCCAGCCAAAAATTATTCCCTAGGAGCAGGACCCACTTTGATCAAGCCAGGTATTTCCGATGGGGGCGTGGGTTAACTAAATGTGCAGGACTATGAACCAAGTTAGTTTGAATCCACTTAAAATTATAGCCTACAAAAGAGCTCTGGCATTGCAAGAGGACTTAGGTGCCTAGAGTTATGCATTGGTCAGAAGTGTGTAAAGTTTTTATATGTGTGCTTGTGTGAGAAGAGATCATGTATTCTGGTTTTGTTTGTATGTAACTGTTCATCTCTGCCATGTCAAGGCATGATAAGTGTCTGAAGAGACCATCAGAGAACGAATGATGACCATCAGGGTATGAAGCAGATTGCCCATTATGCAGAAAGCCATTTTTCCTGCAAGGGCCACATTTGATCCATGGGCCACACTCCAGAAGATTGGCATAGTCCAGACAAAAACTTAAAACTTCACTGACCTAAATGTAAAATTAAATTTTAAAATTACCCTGAATCGATTCAACGAGACTTTGGAGGGCTAGAAGTGGCCGCGAAGAGGACACAGGCTATGCTCCGTAGACAGCTAATGCATGCGACCATCACCAGTGGCAAGCAACAGGAAAAACTATTAAGCCAAAGCCTCTGAAGGGTGTTAAGATTGTCTTCCGCTTCTAGTCCAACTAATCTACATTGGTCTTTAGGCCGCGGTGTTCAGTACCCCCTTCCCTTAAAGGAATTTAGGGGTCCAAGAATTAGCTCACATACACATAAAGATGTCCAAGAAGTTTATTGATTAATAGGATGACAAAGCGCAAGCGCACCTCACCTACCGGAAGTTTATTGACAACTAATAATAAAAAAATAAATAAGAGAGAGCGGGAACCCTGGAGCCCTTTGGAATGACGCAAAGCATTAACCCAGCGCAGGACGTGGGACGCCTCGCATTAAAGGTAGTTCCGGAGGACTACCTCCAACCGGGGCCTCTGCAGCTTTCTCGGCGGCTGCTATTTCTCGGGCTGGAAGTGCGCCGTCGGGGCTGAGCGCGCGAGTGGCGGCGGCGGTGGCAACAGCTTTAATTCGCTCCATCTGCTGCTGACCCCCCCCACACCCCCACCCGCTTTCTCTTTCTCTCTCTCTCCGCCACCGCGGGATGAAAGGAGGCGCTGAGGACTCGGCAGGCCAAGCCCAAGCGGGGATGACGTCTGGCTAGCGGCAGCCAAAAAGACTCCGGAGAGGAGGAACGAAAACCACCGCAAAAGCCTGGCCGGCCAAGTGCGGCGAGCTGTGGGAGTCCCCCGGAGAGAGGCGATCCCCGCGGGATGGCACTGCACGAGCAGAGGCGGCCGTTGAAGATCGCGGTCAGGGCAGGGGCGATGCCGTGACGGGCTCGGCGTTCCGGCTCTTCCGTGCCTGTGCCCGGGACGGCTGCCTTCTCGGGTGCCTTCCGCGCTGTCTGGATTCTCCTCCACGTGGGTCATGAAGGACAGAGCTGAGCGACTGGCGACACGTTCTTCGGAGCGAATGACTGGTCGTGGTCCCGTTTTGGGGTGGGGTGGGATGAGGCACTGGGGTGGGGTGAGTGACGAGCATGAGGTAGCCTCCCCCCCTCCTCCCGAATGAGCTGATTTCGGCCTCTCGGGACTCCGGGAACTTAATCTGAAGCGGAGGGGAGCGGCCCCGTCAAAAGCCTCCTTGCTTTTTTCTTTTCTTTTCTTTTTTTTTATACAGCCCCCCCTCCCCCCGCCCGCCCGCCAAAGCTGTGATGCGTCCCTTTTGCGCAAGGGCGCATTATTCGCGGGCGCGCACCGCGCCGGGTCTTCCTGACTGGATGGCTCACTCTATGGCGACCCTCCTCGCAGCCTCTATAAGAAGCCGGCCCTGGCGAGGGGATCGCAGACATGCTGCAAGGAGCCCACAGCTAGCAGGACGCACGGCGCTTCTCCCCTTCTAGCGTCTTAATTTCTCTTCTGGGAGTCATCAGCCGGCGGGATTGCCAGCAAGTGAGGCCCAAGGGGACTTTTTCCTCCTGTAGCTTCTCCCTTTTTTTTCTCTCTCTCTCTCCCTTTTCCCCTTTCCCTCCCCTAAAAACTTCAACTTGGGCTCTCACATCTTCTTGACGAGCGACGGCCACTTCCCGGGCGCACGGTGCGCGCCTCGCCAGCGGAGCGCTTTGGAGACCGCATCGCCATCCCACCTCTCCACCCACCCATCTATCATTCGCCGCTTCCAACCCCTCCACCCCCCTCTCCTGCGGTTCCGCCGAGCAGGCAGGCGAAGCGATGAGCCCCGTGGCATTAATGCTAGGCTTGAAGACCTTGTGGGTTTTGGCTTTTTCCTCTCTTTCCAACACTCTAGCGGTGAATAACAGCGGCCGATGGTGGTAAGTGCGCTTTACGCGCGGCTGCGCCTTTGGCGAAACCGGATCGCCTTAGTTAAATGATGGGACGGGGAGGGAAATCGAACCTGCTGCTGTTTCGAGGCTCCCGAATTGGCAACTTCGCGCTGCCCGAAACTCGGCTTCTGAAGCAGTGACGAATGGCCAAGTGGAGAAGCGGAGCAGGACCAGGCGCTGGTTCTTGCCTTTAGCGATCTGGATCCCCTTTTCGGTTTCTGTGGGATATTGCTCGGTGGAAGCTTGGAAGACTTGAGCATCCGGCTGTCGAGGCAAGGATAGGGTCCAAAGCCCCCAGATGGGTCTTTAGCTCTGCCCACATGGGGTGGCCAAATTTGTAGTTGGAATTGGACCAAAGAATTACTAATAACTATCACTACTTATACTTTTGCCTCTATCTATTAATACAGAGATGTTTCCCCTATAACTGAAGTATGTTGCACTCTCGCTATAATTATTTATAATGATGTGCCATTTACTGTTGCACTATTTCCCTCACTGCTAATGTTGTTATTCAAGTGTTGCATGTCTGTATTCTTTCTTTCAATTTTCTTTGCATGCCTCTTCTGACACCAGGACAAATCAAGTAAAAATAGTTCTGCAGATATTTCCTCCAATCATAGTTCAGAGAAGAGAGATATGACTCTCATTTTCAGTTTTGATTCCTGACGGTCCTGCTGAAATATCTCCATGAAACCCTGAGAAAGCAAAGGAATCTCATTTCAAATTTTAGCCCCTCTACTGCAATGCATGTCTGATTTTTGGTCCAATGGAAGAATCAATAAGGAAAAGCAATGATTATTTCAGTAAGCATCCTGGCCAAATGGAAGTTTCACATCTAAATTCAATGGCGACGTACGGTACCTTGTGGGTGTAATACCTTCCAATATAATTTTTACTGCCAGTCATCAGTGATTTGGATCTGGCCACTCACCCAGCTGCATAACCCACTCGGTCTCATGCCTGAGCACTAGCATTCTGCATGTGGGACTGAAGCAGCAACATGGGATCTGGGAAGGGTAGCTGTGAGATCCCATTAAGTGATGTTGGAATCAGGGCAGGTGCATGTAATCTGAAATTGCCAGATCTGCCGGCTCAGTACAAAACAAGAAGAAGAAAAAAGAGCTGAGTTATAGGTATGTAGAAATGAAAAGGGAATTGCAGTTAATGGAAGTGTTCCGTTCTCCAAATGCGTTGAGGCATATATGGAGAATTCCCACATTTATTTAAGGTTTTTTTAACACTGTCTTTATGAATTAATAAATAACTCAAGATGGCAAACATATCTAATACTCCTTCCTTCTCCTATTTTCTCCACAATAACCCTGTGAGGTGAGTTGGGCACAGAGAGAGAGAGTGACTGACTTAGCTGTCTTTCATGCCTAAATCAGGACTAGAACTCATAGCCACCCACCTGATGCCTTAACCACTGGATCAATGTTGCACGGTCTTTTCTGGAATGAAGTGAAGGTCATGTTCTAGGTTTCAATTGAAAGAAGAAAAGAATGCCTGTTTCTCAGATGCTGCTAGTAATCAGTATGGTTTGAGATGCATAAGTATTAAATATCTGCTTATAAGGGTAGCATGGTGATACAGTAATGACTAAGTGCATTTGTGTCACATGTGTGAAGCAGATACATTTCTTCTTTCCTGTTTCAAAGAAGAGTATTCTAGATTCTCTATCAATAGTTTCAAGTAAGTGGCATATCTGCATAAGCATAAAATACTCAATAGCCTCAAACCTTGCAGGATCCAGGATCAGCTCTGTATGAATAAAACTATTTTTTTCATTTGTGTTTGAGCTGGGCGAAAAAGAAATACAATGCTTTTAAAACTTATAATATAATTTATATATCGCAGACGTTCCCAAACTTTGTGGCACAGGAACTTCCCACAGTGGTTTTCTGCAGGCAAAGTGAGGAACAAAGTCTAAGAATGTATTTGCTTCCACTTGGCCGGAACCAACCTGATCAGGCTTTAAAGAAAATGATCACACACACGCACACATATTCAAGCACAAAGTTGGTTGTGATTCCCTGGAGGGAGAGTCCTGACCTGCAGTTTGGGAAACCCCACTCTAACTCTTTGGAGGCAATACAATTCCTCCATCCCATCTTTTGAGGAGGAATTCTACAATTTTCCAAACTGTTTTAAGCTATTAAAATGTCTCAGATGACATATGTATAGTACCAAATTTCAGGGCTGCAGTGCTTTGGAAAATTAACCCAACCATTTTAGTACTCCAAGTGAAGTGAGTCAGTGAGTGAGTCAGTGAGGCCCAAAGGTTCTTGCTAGTACTAGTAAAAGGAAAAAAAAGGAAAGAAAAAAAGACGAAGGATTTCCATGCTTCTTAGTGCGAGAGGCTGTTTGTTCCAGCTCCCTGCCACCAAATTTGACAATGGACTGGAAGTCCAATATTCTGCCTGAGATGTGGTGAGAGCCTCCTTGGCTTTGAAAGAGTTGTGTTGGAATAAGGAGTTACGGAGAGACAGCAAATTCAGCTGTTTGTCTATGGAGATTCTCAGTCATCCAGGTCATGGTTGTCCCAAAGGTGCTTTTTCAAAAGGCAACTGGACTTTCTTAGTTTTTTCTTGAAGAAGTTTCGCTTCAGTTCAGAACTGAAGAAATTTCTTGGATGAGAAGTGAAATGTCTTCAAGGAAGAACAAGGAAGTCCAGTTTCCTTTTGAAAAAGCATCTTTGGGTTCAATTGTTCTGGTTGCTTAGAAATACCTGGAAATGTTTGTTTTGATCCTCTTTCACATTTAGAGTTAGGTTTTCAAGGGAGTACTTGGACTATTGTATGCAGTATTACAAACCCCTCTACAATGTTTTAAGGAGAAGTTGCACAGACAGTTTATTGGGAAAACATTGTTCCATCACAAATACTCTTAAAACATATGTGCTGCATTTTAATTCCATAGCTCAATAGGAAATACTTTCACTATTTTAGTATGCCTGTACCATATATCTGTTGGTTATCGGGGGTTTTTTTTTAATTCTGTTTATCAAAGATAATCTATGAGTGGTATAGCCCTTCCTTATTTGAGCTCTCAGATAAAGCTCTTCTCCCTGTAACAATTCCTTCTAAAACATCAACCGACAGAAACTAAAGTGAATGAATAATAGAGAGCAGGGATGATTTATAAAATCAAGTGTCTAGCATGTTGGATTACTAAAGAATTTATTTTCACTTAGGCACTGAGCAAAGTGTTTTTGGCCATGGGAAAATAAGTATTTTGGTTTTTTTTTTAAACAAATTTACTTTGCTTTTATCTTGCCTTTCAGGATCAAAGGTAGCTGTCATCAAAAGCCAGCTGACAATAATTATCAGCTGATTGTTATTGTTAATAATTATCAGATTATTGTTGCTTTTCATGTTGAAACATCTACATTTTTTTTAAAAAAAGGCTTAGAACCATCACTACTGTAAAGCAAAGGAAGCCACAATTTGCAGCAGCCCCAAATTAACAGTTTAACACCAGTCATTTTCTGAATAAGGCAGATCATGCAATCTTCCCCAAAGTCTTGTCCTCCAGATGAACTTTAATCCTTCCCCCATAATCTCCCTTACCTAAAATTTATGGGAGTTTGTTGGGTATGGATTGAGAGTGCCAAGTTGAGAAAGTTGGTTTATGGTACCCAACAGTTTCCCTTTCCTTCAATACTAACTCCAGTGATGAAGTCTGCTACTTCGAAGTAATGTATTTTCTTTTCTGAAATGGCATAACATTGGGGTTCCTTGCTCTCCATCCTAGAGGTAATAGGGGTATCATTGCAAAGAGCAATTGGAGCTGCTGCCTAGAGCATTGAGGGCTTCTGTAGAGATTCTCTACCTGTGCAGGACTGGGGTGGTGGAAGACAGGATAACTAGCAGCTACTTGGATGAAGAAAATGAAGAAATGTTGTTTGCAATCTCTTCCACTGGGTGGGGCCTGGTGTGTAGTTTGACTCTTTCAAGTTCTATATACAGAATAGTTGTTTTCTTATTTTGCTGCCATTGTTTCTCTCTCTCTCTCTCTTCCCAAGATAGTTGTGGCCATTGTTGGGAGGAGGGAATCTCAGAGAACCAGTAACCTTTTAAAGGAACCTAGCTCCCTTATTGTGGGTGATAGGTGGCTGCTCTTCTTCCCTCTCTCCATTGTGGTTTGTATATTCCAATTTTTAAAAAACTTTTTTCGTTAATGCTTTTCTACATGTTTTATAATGATTTTTCTTATATTCTGGTATTATCTGATTGTTGTACCTGGCACCTCCTCTACATTCTTTGGAGAATAAGTTCTAAATTTTCAAATAAATATTTTAATATTTTCAATAGCACGGAATTGCAGTTGTGATGGATAATGGTGGTTGAATTTCTTTTAAGCCTTATGGTCAAATTGGGTTTTACATTTGTGTGATACATGTCTGTTTTGTGTGTGTGCGATGGATGTGTGTGTGTGTGTGTGTGTGTGTGTGTGTATGTGTAGACAAAATACCACTAACTGGCTATCATATTATTCTGAAATCCTATCTGGAATAAAAGTAAAGTGTATGGATTTTATAAATAAATACACATTCCAGATTTTCGATCCAATCTAATAACAATAATAGAAAAACAATAGCTGTAAGATAATAACAGCTATGTTTTGTATATGCATAACAACCTATTTATTTTTATTTAAAACATTTATGTAGTTTAGCTAGTTGGTTAACAAAATAAATGTAACCAAGTTTATATTTATTTCAGTGAACTGTTACTGTACCGTTACTGTAACTCTTATATTATCAGGCATTAATTGCATTTCTATAGCAAATGACTGGAGTTTATACCAGTGTTTAATGCTATGGTGTTTAAAGAGAAAAAGGGAACTGACTGGGAATTCTGGATGTTGCAATACTAACACATCTTGAGCATATCAAATTAGGGAAAGCTTGAGCAATAGGAATTTTGCACCTTACACTCTGCTCTCTTTATGAATCCTGCAAGGTCCTCCTCTGCCAAATAGAAATCATGTATAGCAAATGCTTTTTAGATAGCTCTGTTAAGTAAATTTGTATTTCTCCTAGATGACTTTAAGTTGGGAACAGAAATTCTCAGACAAGGTTTTCTTAATTCAAGAATGCCAGATGCACTAGATTTGGAATTTATATGAATTCCCCTTTAGCTGTTTCCACATGTTTGAGGTGGCTCTGGCAAGAGATGGGAACACTCTGCTCCCCTCTTATTAATTACAATAAGTAGATTGATTCCTCATCCACATGATCTCCTGCCAAAACCTGTCCAAAAACTGCTATGATTTCTTCATTTGTCATGTAGAGTGTGATCGCCCCAGCTGCTATGATATAAGTGACTTGCAGAAATTTTTAATTATGTTTTAATATCATAGCGGGCAGTGGTGAAATCTGAACTGGTTTACTACTGGTTCACTGGCTGTGCATGCGCAGTGCGCACCACGCACCAAATGCGAGGTGCGCGTGCGCAGTGCACGCCAAAAGGAGGCATGCGGTAAGTAGAACAGCGCATGAGGGGGGGTGGTAAGCTGCGGCTACCGGTTCTCCAAACCACCCGCTGCCATTGCTACCAGATCAGGCGATCTGGTCCGAACTGGGAGCATTTCACCCCTGATAGCGAGGTACCTCACTTCTTAAAATATAGTATGTTCGGCACTTGAACCGGAATAAAAGAGGGACTTCTTTGCAACTGGACCTACTGTAGATTTTGGCAGTTCCTGTCTAGAGAGGCTTTCCTGATTCACTCTTTAATTATCTTCCACCAATTAAAGGAAAAAGAGGCAACTCATGCTTATTAGTTGATCTATCTGGCATGTTTTGATGGATCTTGTGATCCTCCTGGGAATGAAGCTATACTATGGGAAGATTTAATTTTTATTCTTTGAATTAGGAAAGGTAAGGAATTGATGTTAAGAGCCATGGTGGCACAATGGTTAGAATGAAGTATTGCAGGCTAATTCTGCATTCCACTGCCAGCAGTTCGATGCTGACCAGCTCAAGGTTGGACTCAGCCTTCCATCTCTCCGAGGTCGGTAAAATGAAGATCCAGATCGCTGGGGGCAATATGCTGATTCTGTAAACCGCTTAGAGAGGGCTGAAAAACACTATGGAGCAGTATATAAGTGCTATTGGTATTGTTATGTGGTATATTTATGAATGTTAGTTTTTCTCTTTTTCTCTTGCTATTTAATATGGTTTTCATTGATTTTCTTATTTGCCAATTTGGACCATTGTTTTATATATCACCAGGCAGAGAGAGTTTAAATACACACCTGTGTGGATAGATAGATAGATAAATAAATAGATGGATGGATGATGGATGGATGGATGGATAGATAGATAGATAGATAGATAGATAGATAGATAGAGATATAGAGATATATAGAGAACATGCATTGGCATGTTAGCAGTATTGAATGCAGTGATATTTTACGCCAAAGCAAAGGTAAAAAAAAAAAAAAACCATGATAGAGGCTGTTCAGAATCATCAAAGAATACCAGCAAGTCTTAACTCCTCCCGTTCCAAATGCCCTTGCAGTACTTGATATTCAACATTGTAAGATTTTGGGTGAAAATGTTTGTATCCTGGCATTTTCCTGGTGCGGCTGGAAGTCTTCAGTCCATTCTGGAGGTCTGAGTCCTTAAGGAGCCAAAGACCACCCTGTCCTGATCACAATGTAATCCTCTTGAAACCTCTACTTGCAGGGGAATCATCAACGTGGCCTCGTCTACCAACCTACTGACCGACTCCAAGAACGTGCAGCTGGTGCTAGACCCTTCTTTGCAGCTCCTGAGCCGCAAGCAACGCAAGCTTATCCGCCAAAACCCAGGCATCCTGCATAGCATCAGCAGCGGCCTGCAGAGCGCCATCAAGGAGTGCAAGTGGCAATTCCGCAACCGCCGCTGGAACTGCCCTACTACCCCAGGCCCCAATGTGTTCGGCAAGATTGTCAACAGAGGTAAGGGGATGATACGAAAAGGGGTTTGAATGGTGGTGGTGGCGAGGAGGAGATGGATGGAAGTCTGTTCGGTTCCCTAGGTGAACTTCATGGATCCGAGAAGTTCCTTCTTGCTCCTATAATCTGTCTGATTTAGCAAGGGGAGGCATGAAACTAAGTGTGTTGCATTGCGATGGGTAGTTGGCTCTCCATTTTTAATGGGGAGCGCTGCAAAAGTGAGTGTGTCACTCAAGAAGAGCAGACTTCTGCACAGAGCACGCAAATTTCTCGTCCCCGTTTTCTGTTTTTCCTTCCTAATAGGAACCAGGACCAGCTCTCCTGTTTAGCTACGTGAAGCAGATGCTTCAAAGGGCAGAGCTGGACAAACAAAACCCACCCACCCACTTTCCTGACCTGCCACTTGGACCACTGGGTCTAAATCCTGATGGCTGGTCCCATTGCCACTTCCATCCCTTGTAAGAGCTGCTCAGAGCAGTGCATTATCCGGTGCCTCTTGCTGCCATAGCTGAGAAGCACTACGTCTATCTCACGACGTTTCTGTGCTGCTGCTGAAAACAGGAGCATGAAAAGGAGGAGCAAAATCTCTTCCCTCCCCAAGCTTCAGGTCTTTGAGGGCTGTTTCCCCTCCAACTAGAACAGGGGTGTCAAACTCAAGGGTGTTTAGATCTGGCCCGCCAGGCCAATTTGGAAACAATGGCGGATCGGCCCGTGGCACCTCTGCCAGCAAAAATGGAGATTGGGAAGGCCACATGCGGCCCTCCAAGGCTCCGTTTTTGGCCGAGATGGTCTCCTGCAGTCCTCCGCCAGCGAAAACGGAGCTGGGAGAGACCATGTGCACCCATGCTCCATTTTCGCTGGCAGAGGGCTACAGGACATTGTTGCGACCAAAAATGGAGCCTCAACGAGTGATGTTGAGCTGGCCTCACCCTCAGCCATACCCCCCCTGCCCCCCAAGGTCAAACACAACCCTGATGTGGCCCTCAATCAAATTGCATTTGACACCCCCGTACTAGAACCTTCTACAGGTAGTCATCGACTTACAACTACAATTAGATCAAAGTTTCCATTGCTAAATGAGACATTTGTTAAATGAATTTTTGCCCCATTTTACGACCTTTCTTTCTTGCCGCCGTTGTTAAGTCAAACATTGCCATTGATAACCTGGTTGTTAAGTGAATCTGGCTTCCCCAGATTGTCAGAAGGTTGCAAAGGGGGGATCACATGACCTTGGGACACACAGCTCAACAGTCAGAAATATGAATCAGTTGCCAAGCAAGCCTCTGAATTTTGATCACATGTTAATGTGGGATGCTGCAAAGGTCATAACTTTGAAAAACAGTCGTAAGTCACACTTTTTTAGCGCCGTTGTAACTTTGAACGGTCACTAAATGAACTGTTGTAAGTCAAGGACTACCTGTACTTAATTTTCCATCTCTTTAATTTTGCTCCTCTGGAAGATTTTAACTGGTGGATGTCCACCATAGCAGATGTGCCCATCCCCTATATAGCCTTCCACCTTCAGAATATAAGCCCTGTAGAATGGCCAAAGGACCCGTGACTTATGAGGTCTATTTGGGGAATAGCCAAGAGCCCTGGGGAAACTGAGCAAGGGAGCACCGTCAGGTAGTAAAAGATCAGGCGACTGTTCTTTGTTCTGCATTCCTTTTTTCAGAAACAAAATGTCTCAGAATTTTTCATGGTGTCCATGCTGGCGCCTTCTTTTAAAGCAAACTGCATGGCAATTACTGGAATGTGGCCAGTAGTGAAATTCAAATTTTTTTACTCCCGATTCTGCCGGCGTGGCTTGGTGGGTGTGGTGTGGTTGAGTGGGCGTGGCTTGGTGGCGTGGCAGGGAAAGGATACTGTAAAATCCCCATTCCCACCCCACTCCAGGGGAAGGATACTGCAAAATCCCCATTCCCACCCCACTCCAGGGAAGGATATTGCAAAATCCTCATTCCCTCCCCACTCCAGGGGAAGGATACTGCAAAATCCCCATTCCCTCCCCATTCTTGGGGGAAGGATACTGCAAAATCTCCATTCCCACCCCACTCTGGGGCCAGCCAGAGGTTGTATTTGCCGGTTCTCCGAACTACTCAAAATTTCCGCTACCGGTTCTCCAGAACCTGTCAGAACCTGCTGGATTCCACCCCTGGATGTGGCTGAAGTACATTGATATAACTTCAGAATTATTAAGAACAATATCAGACTTGCTGTTTTGGATTAGAAGCATCATGTCATTGCAGTCTAGCACACCTGGTCTGCTTAAATCTGATGGATTTCAGTGGGATTTCAACAGCTTAAGCGGACATAAACTGGTTGAAGATTAAAAGGCGACTTGGGGCGTGCGTGGGTATATACTCTACCGCACATTAAGTCAAATACTTATTTTCTGGGAATGCATACAGTAGCTACCACCAGAAGATGCATCTTCCTTAAGGAGTTGCCAACAGATGCAACATGAGCATCCGTGCACACTCTGAATCACCTTTCTTCCCCTTCTTTCAAATTTGGATCACGGCACAACCGTGATGATGATATTAACGATGACATCCCACGCTGGGCTTAGCAACTGAGCTCTGCTAACAGCATAGATCAGCAGACTTAACAGAATAATGGGACAACAGCAGAATATAGGAGAAAGAACTGGAGAAAATCAGAAAATATCAGAAAAATATAAAGACCTGCTCATTGGGTGCAATTCTTCCCCCACCCACCCACTACCAAAAAACGCCCCAGTTTGATCTAGTGGTTAAGGCAGCAGGCTAGAAAGCTGGTGACGGTGAGTTGAGGTCCCGCCTTAGCCATGAAACCAGATGGGGCAACCTTCAGCCAGTCACTCTTCAGGTTTGTTACGGTGGGGAAAATAGGGAAATGAGTCAATTAATTAATAAGCAGCATCTTATTAATTAATTGACAGTTCTAGTTGCCCCTCAGCCATGGAAGCTGACCAAATAACTTTGGATCATTCATTCTCTCTCAGCCCAGGTGACCTTACCAGGTGGTTGTAATGGAGAAAAATGGGAGGAGGAAGCAGGACATATTCCCTGAACAAGAAGATGGGACATAAACCTAAGAAACAAATAAATGAGTAGAATTGCAGGGGTGGGGAACTACGGCCCTTTTATGACTTGTGGACGTTAACTCCCAGAATTCCTGCGTGAACCATGTTGGCTCAGGAATTCTGGGAGTTAAGGTCCACAAGTCATAAAGGGGCCATCGTTCCCCATCTCTGCCTTACGGGAAGCTGCCACCGATGGAATGGGGATGGAAATGATTTTCAATCTCTTCCTGTTTCCTGGGAGCCTTCCATCTCCCTTCCAATATATCCCATAAGATTGGGGGACTCCCTTGGAGCAGAATGGGAGGGGGAAAACAGCCAGAAGAACGGCTGAGAATCCCCTCCGCTCCTGTTCTGCTGTTAGAATCTTGGACCAATCAACAAGCATATCTCCAGGGGAGTGACAATAACTGTACACCATTGGCTATTATCAGCGGTGGGATTCACTTACCTTCCCTACCGGTTCGCAAATGTGCATGCACAGTGCTCGCGCATTACGTCCGGGTGGGTGGGCAGAGCCTCCCGCAGTCGCTGCTACCGGTTCACCCAAACTGGAGAGAACCGGCTGAATCCCAGCACTGACTATTATTAAAATCCTGCTTTATTACAGTCTTCTCACTTTGTATATAGGTTGCCATGGAAACATTATTATTTAGTGGGAAGTCCTTTGGTTAACTTGACTGTTTGCTAAAGAGTATGCTCGATCCTTGTGATAAAGTGAGTTCTGATCACGGGTGAAATCCAGCAGGTTCTGACAGGTTCTAGAGAACCGGTAGCGGAAATTTTGAGCAGTTCGGAGAACCAGCAAATACCACCTCTTGGCTGGCCCCAGAGTGGGATGGGAATGGAGATTTTGCAGTATCCTTCCCCTGCCACGCCCACCAAGCCACATCAAGTCCACCAAGCCACGCCCACAGAACCTGTAGTAAAAAAAATTGGATTCCCCCACTGGTTCTGATGGCTGAATGTATGTCTTCATGAGCACCATTTAAGGCTGGTTATAGGTTTATAAACTAAGGAAATACTTTACTTGGGTTAGAAGGCTGAAGAAATTGCCATTTAGACCGTCCAGATGAAAGACAACAGCTGGGAGGAGCACAGAGAACCTCTAAGACTGGACACTGCAGTGCGGTACCTCTGGGTCTTGGTGCCCTATCCTCCCCACCCAGTGGTGGGTTGCTGCCAGTTCAGACCGGTTCGGATGAACCAGTTGTTCTGACCAGGGCTGGGCCTGCCCATCTGCCCTGGCGCTATCACGTCCTATATAATCGCCGGTTTTTCGATGCCATGCACATGCACTCACATTTTCAATTCCGGGTGAACCGGTTGTTACAAATGGCAGCAGCCCACCCCTGGCCCCACCCCTTTCAATTTGTTTTTAAAAGTTTAATTTACAAATGTGTCCGTGAACATAACGATATGCCTTTAGTACAGGTAGTCCTCGACTTAACGACCATAATTGAACCCAAAATTTACGCTGATAAGTGAGACATTTGTTCAGTGAGAATTTTACAACTTTTCTTGCTACGGTTGTTAAGTGAATCCTTGCAGTTTTTTTTTTTTTTTTTTATTTGATTTATATGCCGCCCTTCTCCGGAGACTCAGGGCGGCTTACAATGTTCTCAGCAATAGCCTTCATCCTTTTGTATATTTATACAAAGTCAGCTTATTGCCCCCACAACTGGGTCCTCAATGTACCTACCTTAGAAAGGATGGAAGGCTGAGTCAACCTTGAGCCTGGCGAGATTCGAACCTGCAGTAATTGCAGGCAGCTGGTCTTAATAACCAGCTTAATAACAGAGTGCCTTAGACCACTGTACTCCAAGGCTCTGTTAAGTTTGTTAAGTTAATAACTTTGTTAATAATCAGGTTGTTAAGTGAATCTGGCTTCCCCCATTGACTTTGCTTGTCAGAAGGTCGCAAAAAGTGTTCACAAAATCTGGGGACACTGTAACCATCATAAATATGAGTCAATTGTCAAGCATCACGTGACCATGAGGATGCTGCAATGGTCATAAGTGTGAAAAGTGGTCATAAGTCACTTTTTTTAGTGATGTTGTAACTTCAAATGGTCACTAAATGAACTGTTGTAAGTCGAGGACTACCTGTATTCTCTTGTGCTTAATGAGGTAAGTAGGCTATTCAGTGGCATTTGATGATCAGATCTCACCTCTGCCATGTAATCAGTCTCTTGGCCAAGTGGCCTGACTCTGAATCTTTTCTTTTTGTGTTGGAATAGAAAACTGTGAATTAAAAATAAATGATTCCATGTTCTGGAATCAAGGCATGACTGGCAAATATTTGTTTTCTGACTGGCCATGTCCATTGCATGGGATTCTTTCTTTAGGAGAGTCGCATTTCCCAATTCTAAATATATTGTATCAAAATAAAATTGAGGATCTCTGTCCTCAGTTGATCGATGAAGGCATTGATCCTTCTGTAGCTGTTCTTTTCCATCTTCTGAGCAATAAATAGATGACGCACCTCCCTCCATCCAAAAGCGAGACTTGTAGTCATTGACTCAGAATTTCCTTATGTACCCGTACAAAAAAATGGGAAACCCAGAATATAAAAACCTATGATAAAGTGTGCAATTTCTTTCTGGCTAGAGGCCAACATTATGACGCCTGACAACTGCCTAGAACAGGGGTCAGCAACCTGCGGCTCTGGAGCCGCATGTGGCTCTTTCATCCCGCTGTTGTGGCTCCTTGTCGCCAGTTGGCTCCGCAATTGATAGGGCTTTCGGTTAGGACAGATAGAGGAAAAAGGACGCCCTGCTAGGAGGAGACTCTATGGTGGAGAAACTGGACTTCTGGTCGGCTCCAAAATTGATCGGGGGGCTTCTGGTTAGGACCTTTATGGCTCTTTCAGTGTTTAAGGTTGCCGACCCCTGGCCTAGAATAATCCCTGCCATTTTCTTGGTAAGGCTTCTTGGAAGTGGTTTGCCATTATCTTCTTCCTAAGGCTCCCAGGTTTCACCCAGCTTTGTGCCTCAGGCAGGACTAGAACTCATGGTCTCCCAGTTTCTAGCTTGGGGCCTTAATCACCACATCAGACTGGCTCTCTATGAAGACCTTGCTATGTACACCTATTTCTTAGGAGTAACTCACTGCTGTCCCTCAGGATTAACTATACATTCATATCAAGATATTTTTGTTGTTGTTAACACATATGCAATTTTTATGCATGTAACAACATGTTCTCACCAAATGTCTGTCCATTAGTTTAGTTTTGATTAAAAGATTTTAGCTGATTTACCTCTCTTTGAGTTTCTTCCAAGGGCTTCCTGGCTGCCTGAGTTTGAACTTGAATTTCTCCAGCCTTAGTTCGACGTATCAGTCCTTATCCGATATTGGTTCTCTTCCTTTAACCCTGCCCATCAACAAAAGAGTGACTTGTGTATCGACCTTGCCCAGAGAAGCTGCATGAGTAGAGTACAGAAATCTGTTTCTAAGATCTAAACCCAGCCCAGGCATCCATTCCAAATATTCACAGCTGGGATTCGTCCATCAGATTTCATAGATTATGTCAGATTTTATAGTAAGCGATTGTTACTCTCTTTTTTCCCCTTCCCCATCCCACTCCGTGGAGAGCTGCAGCGTTCCTCTCCCACAAACTGAAACTCTATTGCTTGAATGTTCCTTTTCTAGCCCTCCAGTTCTCTCTCCCTTCTGAGCAAAAATAAGAAAAGGGGGATTATTAATCAGAAATACAACAAAGATCCACAGTCCAGAAAATAATCCACAAGTCTTCCTTTTTTATGGGATGCAGCATGTAGTCCATTGATTTTTAGATCGTTCCGGTAAAAAAAATGCTCTTAGGCAGCATGGGGGAGAACCAGTGGTGAAATTCAATTTTTTTTTACTACCGGTTCTGTGGGCATGGCTTGGTGGATGTGGTGTGGCTTGGTGGCCATGGCAGGGGAAGGATACCACAAAATCTCCATTCCCTCCCCACTCCAGGGGAAGGATATTGCAAAATCTCCATTCCCTCCCCATTCCAGGGGAAGGATATTGCAAAATCTCCATTCCCTCCCCACTCCTGGGGGAAGGATATCGCAAAATCTCCATTCCCTCCCCACTCCAGGGGAAGGATACTGCAAAATCTCCATTCCCTTCCCACTCCTGGGGGAAGGATATCGCAAAATCTCCATTCCCACCCCACTCTGGGGCCAGCCAGAGGTGGTATTTCCCGGTTCTCCGAACTACTCAAAATTTCCACTTCCAGTTCTCCAGAATCTGTCAGAACCTGCTGAATTTCACCCCTGGGGAGAATGCTCTTTAAAGCATTTTTAATTTAAAAGAAAAGGGGTTTTTTTTCCAGAAGGAAAGATGCTATATAAATAAAATAAATCAATGCCAAAATGTTTGCAACCAGCATGCATGGTGCTGTGCTCTTATGGAAGAGGGTTTCTTTTTCATTTAAGAGGCAATGCCTCTTCTAAGATAGTGAAGGTATCACTTTCAAACATGCTTTCAAAGTTATTAATCCTTCCATTCATATGCAAAAGTAGCTGAGTGTAACCCTACAGTCAGAGTAACCCTTCTGTTTTCACTTTTGAGGCTCTTGGATGAGGACAGAAAGAGCCGCCACTTCCTAAACCCTGCTAGGCTCAATCTGACAAAGGAAGAAATATCTATATCTATATATCTACATCTACATCTAGATCTCTGTATCTCTATATCTATCTACATCTACATCTATCTACATCTATAGAGAGATAGATGATAGGTAGGTAGGTAGGTAGGTAGGTAGATAGATAGATAGATAGATAGATAGATAGATAGATAGATAGATAGATGATAGACCTACCAGTAGAAGATTCAAGCCCATTGGTTTTATGAAACTGAAAGATGGACTTCTCATACTGATGGTTGGGGGAGTTAAACATCCACCTCCATTAAATGCTTCCCATGTTGTTCTCCTTGCATCTTTGCACAGCATCTCAACTGCTCCTAACTATGCATTTGCTTCACTTACAAAGGCAGAGTATGATACATCACTTAAGGTTTCTTCTCATATGAAGTGCCTCCTACCCAGCTCTGATGTTTGTTCCAAAGCAACGTACAGCTGCTTGAAATGGCCTGATGAGTAACATCATCACCTTACTATTCTTATTGCTGCTACCACTTTTACTGCTATGGTTGCTACCACCATGAATATTCCTTGAAACTAATAATACCACTTTTTTTTTAAACGAGGAAGAAAGCTTTAAGGAACGCTGCCGCTCCTGCGTTGTGTCAGGAATGTGTTGCTGGTCTCCAAGCACACGAGGCAGCCTTTATTATGGATTCACTGGAAATTACGGGTAGTCCTCAACTTACGCCCACAATTGAGCCCAGCATTTCTGTTGCTAAGTGAGACATTAAGTGAGTTTTGCCCAGTGGTGGGATTCAAATAATTTAACAACCGGTTCTCCCGAAGTGCAAACTGGCTGAATCCCACTACTGGTTTTGCTCCATTTTACGACCTTTCTTGCCACTATTCTTAAGTGAATCACTGCAAGTGTTAAGTTATATTAAGTGAATATGGCTTCCCCATTGACTTTACTTGTCAGAAGGTCGCAAAATGACTCTGGGACACTGCAACCGTCATTAAATATGAGTCAGTTGCCAACTGTCTGAATTTTGATCGCAAGACCAGGGGGAGGCCGCAACAATCGTAAGTGTGAAAAACGGCCACTTTTTTTCAGTGCCGATGTAACTTCAAAAGGTCACTAAATGAACTGTTTTAGGTCAAGGTCTACCTGTACTAAGCTGGGTTCGGTGCTGTTCACTGATACATTGCATGGTCTCCCTTCTGCCTCCAGGTTGCAGAGAGACTGCCTTCATTTTTGCTATTACCAGCGCTGGGGTCACCCACTCCGTGGCCCGTTCTTGCTCGGAAGGCTCCATCGAATCTTGCACTTGTGACTACCGACGGCGGGGCCCAGGAGGTCCCGACTGGCACTGGGGTGGCTGCAGTGACAATGTGGACTTTGGACGGGTCTTTGGGCGAGAGTTTGTGGACTCCAACGAGAAGGGGAGAGACCTGCGCTTCTTGATGAATTTACACAACAACGAGGCAGGACGTCTGGTAGGGAGAATGGGGACCACTACGGGGTACGGGGTTTTACGTAGAATTGCATGCATTGAGAATGCCTTTCATATCAGCAAGCATCACGAATGCTTTCAACATATGTTCAGACCATGATTCACTCTGTTCGTACCAGCTCATTGTTTTCTGAAGAGCTAAGATTTTAGTTATGTTGATCTATTCCTAGGAAAACCTAGCCATCAAATTCCTCCAAAGTAATTAATGTTTTATTAAGGTTATATCATGCAAAAAAGGTCCCACTCAGATCATTATGCACTTATGCAGATGTGTGATTGAGTTAATGTGATTATAGTTCTATACTGTAGTGGCCAAAATTGTGGAAACCTTTTGGGAAAAGTGTATTTTCTAAAACTAGCTAATAACACCACTTTTTTTTTTGGAGCGGTACCATAAAATTAATGGAAAGATAATTTAATCAAGACTGTAATGCAATAACTTTTATGAAGGATTTGCTATTAGAATAGCAGTTACAGTATAAAGAAGAAAAGCGAAATACGTAGAAAAAACAAGATATACAAAAATTATCACGTCAGTTAATACTTAGTTGGGTAACCTTTAGCATGAATTACAGCCTTACAATATCTTCCCATGGAGTGAATCAAGTCTTTTGGTTCTGCAGTTGTTATAATATGAAACCAAGATTGAAAAATTGCTTCTATTAACTAGGTTTTATTGGTGGCTCACTTCTGACTAACAAGTTTCTTTAGTCGGCACCATAGATTTTCAATTGGGTTAAGGTCTGGGCTATTCCCAGGCCATTCCAGCAGTGCAATATAATTATCTTGGAACTCCCCAAAAAAGTGGTGTTATTAGACATCAAACCTCAAAAATACACTTTTCCCAAAAGGTTTCCACAATTTTGGCCACTACTGTGTATTGTTCACCTGGATGAAATTGGATTTGGTGTCCAAGATGGCATAGAGTTTGTATTGTAAAATCTAAACAATGTGTTCCCGGAGCTTGTTGTTTTATGAGAATGCTGGGAATATGTGCAGGCACATTATAACAAGCTCTCAGTTGCCTTACTGTTGCCCTACAAATAGGACAGAAGGAAGCAACAGACTGCCAGTTCCTGTATGAGAATTCGCATTAGGGTTTACCTTCCAATCCTTGCAATGATTTATGCACTTTATTGAACAAGCATGAGCTAGTGCAAGAATCTGCCTCTCCATCCAGGGAAGAATTCGTTTCAGGAGAACTCAGCTCAAGCTGTTGTCCTACCTAAATATGACTAACAGAATTGCTTTGCTAAATCAGGCTATTTCCTACGAGAAGTCGTAAAATGGGGCAAAACTCACTTAACAAATGTTTCACTTAGCAACAGAAATTTTGGGCTCAATTGTGATCACAAGTCGAGGACTACCTGTACAGAAGAATCTGATGAACTAAAGTTCAACACTAAGTTGGCACCAGATAAGGGTCAATGGAATTCAGGAAGGATTGGAGTCCTTGTGGGAACACAGCGACTCTAAGCTGATTCTAAGTTTAACTCTACTCCCCCAATGCTACACCCCTTTTAGCCTTGTGTGAGATATGCAAACTAGAGTTTGCAGGTAATATAAAAAAAAATCCAAACTACTTCTTTGCTACTAATTAAGATGACATAATGCAGTGGGGTATTTATGCCTTGGCAGAAGGCAGGAACCGAATAGCTGCCCTTAAGTCCCTTAATAGTGCCCTTAAGTCCAGCCGTTTAGCAGAGTTGTTTTAAGGAAAACATCCCAATTGATTGGTTGCGATCTGCCTATCTGCTGCCCTTAGAAATGCCCAGATTTGCTGCCTGACTTCATGGCGAAGGCCTTTTACCTTGATGAACAGATTGAAACAACAGATTGAATTCTGGGCATGAGAATATACCTGCTTAGTGTATGTATGTGGCTTGGCTGCATAAAAATGTATTTCTTTTCTCTGCTTATTGCACGGACTGGGAAGCATATATTTGTTTGCTTTTACAGGGCGTACATTGTGAGGAGAGTGGTAGCAACCTGAGAGGGGCGGGGCTGTGGTAATGGGATGTCCCCTCCAAAAATGGGGCAAGCCTCCCTTAATCAGGCCAGCCCTTAGGCAGGCTAGCCAAGACCAGAACCACAAGCTAGGCTGACGTGTGGGCTCCTAAACATCTGGAAGGAAATGATTCCAGTTCTTCTAATTGCAATAAAAACCCCTTTGGAAAGAAAAACTGCGGGCTTGGAGAAACACATCCACATTTTTCTAACTGGAGGGGATCTGTGGTGTGTGGATGGGAAGGGGGGGGCAGTTGTTCCCATTTGTAAGGAAAGGGGAAAGAAATGGACTTTGGAAAAGAGATTTGCTAACAGAACAACAAAGGGAGAGATGGCTTCCAGGGAAAAGCAGAGGTGTCCTGGCACCCAGGACTCCTCTGCTCCAAGAAGCAGAAAAAATAGGACGTACTGTAGCTTCTCAACTACCAGTACCATCATTGCTACAGTACCGTATTGTTATTGTCACTGTCATCATCACATTTTGACTTCCTTTCCAATTCCCAGAGTTTCTAGACAGCATAAATAAGACTAGGAATTCTGGGAATTGTAGTCCTCACAGTTTTGGATTGAAAAAGCTTTCTTTAGCTAGGTTGTTCAAAGCCTGGAGAACTTCTCTAGCTGTTCAGATAATTGAGGAACTACAGTTCCCGCTAGACTTAGCCAGTGGTGGGTTTCAAAATTTTTTACTACCGGTTCTGTGGGTGTGGCTTGGTAGGTGTGGCATGGCTTTGTGGGCGTGGCAGGGGAAGGATACTGTAAAATCTCCATTCCCTCCCCAATCCAGGGGAAGGTTAATGCAAAATCCCCATTTCCTCCCAATCTGCTGGGACTCGGGAGGCAGAGAATAGATGGGGGCGGGGCCAGTCAGAATTTTTACTACTGGTTCTCCAAACTACTCAAAATTTCCGCTACCAGTTCTCCAGAACTGGTCAGAACCTGCTGAAGCCCACCTCTGGACTTAGCCCACATGGACATAAATGAAATTTCTGGGAGTTGCAGTTCAGCCGTTTCTGGAAGATCGTAATCCTCTAGGCCTGACACCAGTCACCTTCACAGCTTTTATAATGGATCGGTTCTCTTTACTCAGTGGGAAAACTGAGGCTAGGAAGATTGGCTTGCCTGAAGCTACCTAGTGAATTTTGTGACAAGGGCAGAGATGGAGTCTGGGACCCCTTATTTTTATCATAGCATGACAGGTTTCTCAATTTAGGAACCAGGCGCTGGGCTTTAGGGACAGGACAGCCCAGAGTGCTGAAAAAGTGTATTTGTTCTTGTACGAAATTTTATATCCAAATATGTTTTATTCTTTATACTGTTTCCATCTTCCCTGACAATATTACCAGAACCCACAATGGTCTGAGAATCAGTATCTCCATTAGATTATTGACAGTGAAGCTGAAACTAAGTTAATCAATTAAAATTAGCAAAACTTCCTCAAATCCCCAAATAAGTTACCCAGACCTAATCCACATATCAAAGGATAAGGCCTGCAAACACAAACAGAATGAATTAAATTAGGTCTCCCAGAAGGAACTGCATGTTCACAAGAATAAACATAGCTACACTGTGGAATGTGGTGTAGTGCTGTGGTGGCTCAGTGGTTAGAATGCAGTACTGCAGGCTGCTTCTGCTGACAGTTGATTACCAGCAAGTTTGACAGATCGAATCTCACCAGGCTCAAGGTTGACTCAGCCTTCCATCCTTCCGAAGTGGGTAAAATGAGGGCCCAGATTGTTGGGGGGCAATAGGCTGACTCTGTAAACTGCTTAGAGAGGGCTGTAAAAGCACTGTGAAGCGCTAAATATGTCTCAGTGCTATTGCTAAACACACACACATGCATGCACACACGGCTCTCACGTGTCACCCTAGAATCATGACATAGATACTTTGCCCCAGACAAACCACCACCCCCCTGTAAAAATCTTCTGCTGTACCCCATTTCTCTGCAGCCTGCTCCTAAAGGCAAACTGTTTTGCTTTTAGGAGTAAATGTTTCTTCTTTCCTCACAGCTGTCTGGATCTCATTTTTGTTCATTCTTGCGCAACCCCGTCTTGAGTTGGAACCCCGAATTATTCTTCTGACACTCTTAATAGGCTTCTTGGTCTTCTTTTTTTTTTTTTTTTTTCTTCCCCAGACCGTTTTCACAGAAATGCGCCAGGAATGCAAATGCCACGGGATGTCAGGCTCTTGCACCGTGAAGACCTGCTGGATGCGTCTGCCCACTTTTCGGACCGTGGGGGACTTCCTCAAGGATCGCTTTGACGGCGCTTCCCGGGTCATCTACGGCAACAAAGGCAGCAACCGAGCTTCCCGCATGGAGCTGCACCATCTGGAGCCAGAGAATCCAGCTCACAAGCCTCCTTCTCCTCACGACCTGGTCTATTTTGAGAAGTCTCCCAATTTCTGCACTTACAGCGGTAAGACAGGCACAGCAGGCACGGCTGGACGGTTTTGCAACAGCACCTCCCCAGCTCTGGACGGCTGTGAGTTGCTGTGCTGTGGGAGGGGCTACCGCACCCGGACACAGCGCGTCACTGAGAGATGCAACTGCACCTTCCACTGGTGCTGTCACGTCAGCTGCTTGAACTGCACCAACATGCAAGTGCTGCACGAGTGCTTGTGAGGGAAGCAAAGGACATGCTTGGCCAACGAGTCAACAAGAAGCACCCAGCTCGGAGAAAAAGAAGACCTCACTGAAAAGGCCCAGGCACTCGCCACACACACACACACACACACTCATCTCCCTATTTCCCCACAGGAGCACAGTACCCTTTTTTGGCCCAGATAGCAGACATCTTTATGGTTACAAACGTCTCACCTCTCCCGTCTTGGGAGAATCAACCCAGGTTGAAATGGCTGCAGACATCCATGAGAAATCAACACCCGGTCATGCTTATGTTTGCCAGGGCCGAGTGTGCAAGGAGCTCCTTTTGTGTTTTTTTGCATGCTAATTGAGATTTGTCGTCGTAGAGCTTAATTTAAACTAGATCTGAAAACGTCAACCCTGAGGGATTGCAGTTATCCCAGGTTATTAGGTGTAATTTTGATTGGTTGAAATCTTTAGTTCCTTTCTTTGTTTCTGGACCTCCTGAATGACTGGAATGGAAGGTGGGGGGGGGGGGGGGGGGGGCCCCTTGGATTTCAGGCAGAATGGCTTTCCCTCATCCGAGACACATGCTCAGGTCACAAGAAGTGTCTTCCCTGTGGTGTTTGACACCTTTCATTTTACAGACCTCACACAAGCTTCTCTGAACTGACTTTCAGGGGTGTAAGCCCTGTGTATGATAATTAGATTATTTCCCTTCCCTCCCCCCCCCAACTACTTTTAATGTGGCTCCAAGAGAAATGCAACTCAAAGCATATCATTAGAGCATCTGTGGTCTCTGAATACATGAGGAAGCACAATTGAGCTGAAGGTTCTCCAGTGACTGATCCCATAGTAATGAATGTCTGCTGATGTAGACCATCTTTCATTGGTCTAATGGGACGTTTATAGCAAATTATCTTGGATAATTATTTTCCACGGTATTAGTACAGGTAATCCTCGACGTACAACAGTTCATTTAATGACTGTTCAAAGTTGCCACGGCACTGAAAAAAAAAATGGACAGGATCATTTTTCACACTTATGACCATTGCAGCATTCCCATGGTCACATGATCAAAATTCGGACGCTTGGCAGAACTGGCTCATATTTCTGACCGTGATATCCCGCAATCGTGTGAATTCCCTTTTGTGACCTTCTTACAAGCCAAATCAATGGGGAAGCCCGATTCTCTTAACAACTGTGTTACTAACAGCTGCACCGATGCAGTTAACGACTGCGGCAAGAAAGGTCGTAAAACGGGGCAAAATTCGCCTGACAAATGTTTCACTTAGCGAGAAAAATTTTGGGCTCAATTGTGGTCATAAGTCGAGGACTACTTGTACTAGAGACCCTTTGGCTCATTTCCCAACATAGGTGCCATCTAGATGTGTGGACCGACCACTGTCAGCAAAAGCATTGCAGTTAATTCTGCTTATTTGGTCCACATGTCAGAAGACTAGCCAAGCTGGGGAAGATTGTCCTAGAACCGTGATGGCGAACCTACGGCATGCGTGCCAGAGGTGGCACGCAGAGCCCTCTCTGCTGGCACGTGCGCCATCATTCCAGGTCAGATCTTGGCGTTTCATTCGTGAGCTTCTCTTTCCCTGCAAACGACAGAAGCTCCCGAAAGAAAAAGATCTTACCTCTTGTCATGCTGCCGGTGTTGGGATACCCCGCCTCCTACTGGCCAGCTGGTCTTTGAGTCTATGCTACGCATGCGCGCATGTCCACGCCTGCGCATGTTTGTGCATGTCTGTGCACGACTCGTGCGCACATTTCAGTTCGGGCATGCCCGCACGCACAGTTTGGGCACTTGGTGTCTAAAAGGTTCGCCATCATTGTCTTAGAATCTGGCCTTGGGTGCTGCATCTGTTATCTAGGAAAGTGGCAGTAGAGAGTTTTGATCTCTCAAAGGTCCAAGGGAAACAGGCAACTCCCCTTTAATTACACGTTGCTCCTTGTGCTTACAACTATTCTCAAACACAATTTTTGTGCTGCTGTGTGGAGGTGGGGAACATGCATGCAAGGATGTGTATGACTTCTGACTTTCGAACCTTTTTGTTAAGAAAATATGCTTCTAAAAAATACTGATGTTTTTTCGACAGTTCTAAACATTTCCCCACTCCTTTCATTTTGCTCTCTCATCCACTCACTCAGAGAAACCCCCCCGGAAATAATATGCACTGAAGAAGTGACTGGGATTGCTAATAATTTTGCAGATGTGTGTAAATAAAATATTTATTATTGCTTGTTTCATATTCCTTTAGGCCTGAAGCAAGGTTCTTGCTCCTAGACTTATGGTTTCTGAATCTTTTCGCGACATTTTAGAGAAGAATAAAGTATATATTTTTATCAATTTAACCGAGTTTAATGTATTTGCTGTACTATACAAAATTCAAATGCCTGATCCTGGATTGCCTTGCGTTACCTTGTATCTAACTGTGCATTGATTGTGCACAGATGTGATTGGCACCCTTGTTCAGGTTGGTGCAATTATGAACACTTGATGCCTAATTTGACCTCTCAACACAAATCATGGAGTTCTGTCTGGCAGCTTTTGCTCTTAAGTCCAATTATTTGCAGCTGAATGAGAACATATATTTGGAGGACTCAGCCATTCATCAGTTAAAGTCTCCAAGTATTAGATAATTTACCACATCCCTTGCTGATCTGTTCCAATATTATTGCATTTTTAAAAAGCTGCATTCCAATTCCAGCTTGAGTTTATGTACAAGGCTCCAACGTCTTGTTACGACTGTGTCTACTATGTTAAGAAGCCCATCTCTTCAAAGAATAGTGACAGGGTCAGAACATGTAAACAAGCAAAGCCATGTTATCATGGCTCATTCATCACTTATAGCAAGAAGATTTTATTGAATAAGTAAACATGTAGCTCAAGCAAAGGTAAATTCAGATTTGCCTGGTTGAAGAGACATAGTTATAGTATTGCACTTGGCTTGTTATTAATACAGATTAAAAAATTGTTCCAGGAATGCCAATACATACAGTATTTTGATTTTTTAAAAAGAAGACGGAGAAGGACTCCATTGAGAAATAAATCTTGAGATAACTGACACCTGCCATTTTAGGCCTCTATCTACTACATATTCCAAAGAGGGGGGAGGGAAACCAACTAATACAGTTATACCTTTATGCACCTTAGCAGGTGAAGATCCATGCAGGGACCTGTCCATTCATTGATGGTGCTGAAAACAAGAAGCTTTGGACCTAACGTTTGTATGTTGAGCAGCTGAGGCAGGTTATTGGCAGTTTCAACTATTCTGAGGAGCTCTGCAGTATCCATATCTTTTATTTTGCACTTTCAACTGCAAAGGGGAGCATGACTTGGCCCCAGAGGAGATGGCTGTAAGAAACAAAAAAATTGGAGGACAGAGGCCTAAACTCTAGCCTAGGCCCTAGAGCCGTGATGGCAAACCTATGGCATGTGTGCCACAGGTGGCACACGGAGCCATATCTGTGGGCACGCAAGCGTTGCCATAGCTCAGCTCTGGCGTGCATGTGCATGCTGGCCAGCTGGTTTTTGGGCCTTCCAGGCCCACCGGAAGTTGAGAAACGGGCTGTATACAGCCTCCGTGTCTGTGTGTGGAAGGCCGTTTTCACCCTCCCCAGGCTCCAAGAAAGCCTCTGGAGCTTGGGGAGGGCAAAAAACGGATCTACCGGGCCCACCGGTAACCTTTTTGCCATTGCGTGCCAAAAGCGGGGGGAGCACAGGGGTGTCACACGCACATGTGCAACGGGGTGGGGCACGGGGGACATTGAATTATGGGTGTGGGCACTTGCGCGCGTGACCCCCTTGCGCGCCGCCTGCTTTTGGCACGCAACAACAAAAAGGTTAGCCATCACTGCTCTTTGTAGTGCTTCACAAGAAAGGCAATCTGATAGAGTTGAAGAGTGGATGGCAAAGGAGAGGAGCAGAGGCCAAAGTTAAAGCCCATCTTTGAGACTGGATGCAAAGTGATGCTACGTCTGCTCTACAGCTTTCGATCTTCAGTGATGCCAAAAATTGTTTCAAGAAGGCTAACATATATAGTATAAAGCAGGTCACATGCTTTCAAATGGGATATAAGGCATTCTCTTGTTTAAACAGTTGCGAAAGATCATTATGATAGACCAGCCGTAGAGTGCAGAAGGCCTCTGCTAAATTCAGGGCTATTGAGTAATTAGATTTGGCTAGTGAGGGTAATCATAGAGAAGCTCTGGGCTCTAAGGCCTAGGCTAGAGTTTAGGCCTCTGTCCTCCAATTTTTTGTTTCTTACAGCCATCTCCTCTGGGGCCAAGTCATGTTCCCCTTTGCAATTGAAAGTGAAAAACAAAAGATATGGATACTGCAGAGCTCCTCAGAATAGTTGAAACTGCCAATAAGTATAAGAGTATAAGAGCCTGAGAGATCAAATGCCTCTTGTTTCCAGGTCACCAAATAGATTATGGAAGCCAAAAAAAACCCCAGGAAAGTCTTGCCTTTGAAGAATCATTTAGTGTTTCAATCTTATGAAAGTCATTTGACCTGTAAGGCCTCCATCCATGTCACTGCTTGATCCAGGACTCCATTTGAAGCTTTTCATGGTTGTGTCACCATTAAGCAGTCTTCACTCATTGGTACCTGTTATGTGTGGTTCAGTCTGTCTGTCAGCAGGAGCTATCTTGGAGGGCAGCAGCAGCAGCTCAAGAATTTTTGAGATATATAGAATATAGAGCAGTGGTGGAATTCATTTTTTTTTTACTACCGGTTCTGTGAGTGTGGCTTGGTGGGCGTGGCAGGGGAAGGATACTGCAAAATCCCCATTTCATCCCCACTCCTGGGGGAAGGATATTGCAAAATCTCCATTCCCACCCCACTCTGGGGCCAGCCAGAGGTGGTATTTGCCGGTTCTCCGAACTACTCAAAATTTCTGCTACCGGTTTTCCAGAACCTGTCAGAACCTGCTGAATTTCACCATGCTGATATAGAGCATGGTCCATATTTGCTGGATTACTCTCAGCAGCAAACCTATCAAATCTAGGGATAATGCTCAGGCCATTTCATGCCTGAGGGAAGCCAAAAAGAAGTGGCTGCAGGGTTGATTCCTCCTTCAAACAAGACTGGTGTGGATAACCTTGGGCCAGTTGTACTTTCACAACTCAGCGAACCTCTCAGGTTTGCTGCTGCGAGAACACAAAGGAGGAGGGAGCACTTTGTATGACCATCTTGAGCTTCCTTAGAAGGCTCAGCCCCAACAGGAAGTTTGAAGGAAAAAAAAAATGTTTCCCTGGGAGAACCTCCATAACAGTTAGCTACAGCTATCACACATTTTCTTATTTGATAGCCAAAATGTTTCCTTGTTGCCTGTACGTAGCCATGCACAAGCATCATTCCATTCCTGACAGTTGAACTGAAAAGCTTTATTGGAAGGCTGTTGTTTTGCCTTCCCCCCACAGAAATAGGATGTTTTAGAATTAGTTTGCACTTCATGGCAATTGCACTGCTGCACTGATCAATGATGCTGGATGAAATGATAAAAGAATAGCCAGGTTAATCCAAAAGTCCAGTGGAATCATTTTTCTGCTTTCAACATTGGCCCATCCAAATGCCTCAGGAAATAAAAAAAAAAAAAAAAGTACTGATATTGCGACTAGTTGGGGTAATGAAACGGCTGCAAGAAATCAACCAAGCTCAGAGAGCACAAAGGATCCCTCATTTCAACCCTGAGTTACAAATATTCTCTTTTATTGGTAAAAAACAAAAAAGAAAAACACTGTCGAGCAAGATATAAACATGATAGTTAGAGATATGCACATGACCAAAACTGTCCTCAACAGTGACAAGATTCCCTATATTATTCTGTTTCAGCAAATGTTTGTGATTTAAAAGAGTGGTAAAAAGAATCTCACCTTTCTGTTAATAGTAAGGCTGCCTAACAATTGCTGCCCGGGTGAAGGATGCTGGAGACAGTTTAAGTGGATCCCAAACATTCACTCCCAAAGCAATTTGTAGCACATTACTTTTCATCCCTAGTAGAGTTGCTCCTCTATTTTTTGTCCTTGAAATCTGACATGTGGATTAGACACTGTTCACAACCCTAACAGGAGGGGCCTTGATGTCCATGCCGGGGCCTCCTAGCACTGACCTCTGCTGGTGATTCTGCCAACCCACAAGGAGATCTGTTTGGAAGATCAGCCTCTCGTCTTCCAGCTTCTCTACAGCTGGGGTGGGAAATGGACACACCCAGTGTTATGTCCTTATAAGGACATCCGCCCTGATTGGCTGCCAACCATCGGGCGGGAGATTTGAATCCCTGTCAAGGGGCGGTGCGTCTGCCGGGAGCGAATATAAGGAGAGCTCCGGCAGCGCGCCAGCAGTCTTGACTCGTTACGTTGTAATGAATAAAAGTTGCTTTATGTATCGAGCTGGTCCAGTCTTCTTTTCCCTGCGCCGGATCTAACACTGGCGACGAAGGACTAGAGAGAAGAACCTTCACAAGACTCTTGGCACGATCGCCCACCGAACAAAATCACCACACCACAGCGATCTTCCAGAATGGCCACCCCGCAAGCCCCGATGACCGCGCTGAACCCGTTCGACCCATCCCGGGAGAAGTGGAGGTCATACATGGTCCGATTCCGGCAGTTCCTGCGAGGCAATGGATACCAGAACCTCGATGAGGAGAGAAAAAGAGCCCTCTTCCTGGCTCATTGCGGATCGGACGTTCTGGAGATGGCGATTGACCTCGTGGCACCCAGGGACATCGAGGAGATGTCCTGGAACGACCTGCAGGAAGTCCTACAGGAGCACTATGCACCTACAGGCACCCCCATCGCAAACAGGTTCACCTTCCAGCAAAGAAACCAGCGGGAAGGTGAATCCATCAAGGAATTCGTGGCAGCGCTTCGCCAAATCGCTGCCAACTGCGAGTTCGACAATGTGGACAATGCCATCCGGGACCGCATTGTGTTTGGAATGCGAGATGTGGGGCTGCAGAAGAAGTTCCTCAGCCGGAAGAAGATTCCGCTCAAAGATGTCCTCGACGAGGCAACGGCGGCTGAAACGTCTGAGCAAGCAGCCGCCGCGATGGTAAAAGCAAGGGGGATCCATAAGATCCACAAGTCGGGCCCGACCTCATCAGACGAGGCAACTACTCAATCCGAGTCTGATGAGGAAATGGCCGTCCACAAGGTGTCCCGCCCTCCCAGGCGGGAAAACCCACAGCATGGCGACCGGGGAGAGCGATGCGGCAGCTGCAGAGGCGACCACCCCAGGGCAAACTGCAGATGGAGGGACGCGACCTGCCGCCGATGCCTGAAGAGGGGCCACATCGCAGAGGCCTGCAGAGCCACAGATCCAGCCCCGGAACCACCCAGACCAC